GGATTATTGTTGAATTAACCATAAAATTATGGTTGGATCTATCATAATCCATTATGGTTGAATTAACTATAAAATTATGGTTGGATCTATCATAATCCATTATGGTTGAATTAACCATAAAATTATGGTTGCATCTACCACAATGGATTATGGTCGATATAACTATAAAATTATGGTTGGATCTACCACAATGGATTATGGTTGAATTAACCATAAAATTATGGTTGGATGTACCATAATGGATTATGGTTGAATTAACCATAAAATTATGGTTGGATCTACCATAATGGATTATGGTTGAATTAACCATAAAATTATGGTTGGATCTATCATAATCCTTTATGGTTGAATTAACCATAAAATTATGGTTGGATCTACCACAATGGATTATGGTCGATCCAACTATAAAATTATGGTTGGATCTACCATAATCCATTATGGTTGAATTAACCATAAAATTATGGTTGGATCTACCACAAAAAAGTTATTTTGGCGGTTATTTAAAATTAAAAAAATTTTTTTTAAATATTTAGATTTTATAATTATTAAATTATAATAATAAGTGCGCGCGCGTAGCGCGCGCTTGTATTGTACTAGTTCATTTTTAAAAAAGGCATGTAAGATCTATACTCGAATGTATCGAAAGTTGTTGACGCTTTTTCGCGACGTTGATTGGTTATCGCGATTATTTTGACAGTTTGAGAGCGAAGGTTATTTTGACGGTTATTTACAATAAAAAATTTTAAAAATTTATTAAAATATTTAGATTTCATAATTATTAAAATACCATAATTAAAATTACATAATTATGAAAATAATAAGTGCGCGCGCGTAGTGCGCGCCTGTATCGTTCTAGTCTTTAATTAAAAAAGAAATGTAGTTATAAATAATTTTTAACTATTAAAAAAGTTGAAATACATAATGCAATCTGTGTTATTAAAAAGTTAATTAATGATATAATCATTTATTTTACACTAATAAATTATAACGTTTTTTGTTTTAATAATTTGATTGGCTAAAATAATTGATAAAAAAATAATTACCTTGAAGTTCTTGCACCAGAGTCGCCTCCGCCTTGTCGTACTGCTTCATCTTCATGTACAGCTTCGCCAGATCTATCTTCAGAGCGGCGCAATTGTCCTGTTTTACTATGTCCTTGTAATAGGTGATCGCCTTCGCGTATTGATGCGCCTTGACGAGCGCCTTGCCCATCTTGTTCGCGATCTCCACTTTGTCAATCGGATTCTGCGAGAGCGCCTGCTCATACGCCTCTATCGCTCTCTCGGGCTCCTGTATGGATATATAAGCGTTGCCTAACATGCTATATGTCCTCGGTCCTGGACAGTGTTCTACCAGTTCTCTGAAAAGCCATCGAATGTCGCCGTTATCAGTCCTCATTCTAAGTTTGATATAAATAATACGTTAAATGTATATAAAAAAAGAAATCAATTAAATGACAAAGATTAATTAAAAATATAATAAATAAAAAGACAGAGAAAGATACGTAAATACTATTAAATCTTGTAACCAGTTTCCAATTTTTTAATTATTAAAACATAAAAATTAAAACTAAAAATAATAGATAAATTAAACAACAAAGGATCACAAGATTTCTTACCTGAAGCACTTCGCGAACGCCTGACGGTCCTTTCTGTAGTTCAGGTTGATCTCGGCCAGCCTGGTGTGCGCCTGAACGTAATACGGTTGTCCGGGATGAATACTCTGTAAGGAGCCGACGGCGTTTTCGAGCTCCCCCATGTCTAGATGAACCCCGGCGGCGCCGATGGTGAGCCTGCCGAGCTCAGCGGTGCCGGCAAGATTCATTTTCGCCTCATCGACAAGCGTAAGTGCCTCGGCGAAGCGCCTCGCCTTGCTGTACGCGGTGATCAGTTCGAGGTACAAGCTCGCGCGGTCCGACGTGGACATGTCGGACTTCCTGCTGACGTTGCCGGTCAATCCCGCCAGCGACATCGCCGTCTGGCAGCTCTTCACGCAGCTGTCCAAGTCGCCGGCCTCGCGTTGCACCATGCCGATGATTAGATGGTAGAGCGGCTCGTCGCGGATCTTGAAGTTGTAGCTCAGACCGACTTCCAGACTCTGCGAGGCGAGCTGATACTTGCCCTGGTAAGCCAGGATCTGCGCCATTGCGAGATGTGCCTGTGCGTTGGATGGTTCCACTGCGTCCAGTGTCCTTAGCAGGACAAACGCGCCGTCGTAGTCGCCGCTCTGCATCTTCGCTCTGCTGAGGAGTAGCAGAGCCGCGCTGGAACCCGGACAGGCCTCCACTAATCGCTCCAGCAAGTGAACGCTCGGTTCTTTCTCCATTGCTCTGCCCAGCTTAAAAGTTTCATAGAAAGATGAATTTATTTCGGAGTTAAATAAAAATTAAATGTATAGAATTTGTACAGCAAAAAAAATAAATTAAAATGTTAAAAAATTCGATAAAATTAAAAGTTAAACTAGAAGGAAATTTATATATTAAAAGAAATTAAATTTATTACAAGGAAAATTGATATGACTGTATTCTTACAATTAATATGCAATTAATATACTTTCTCTTTTATAAGTTCGATAAGCAAATTACTTACCTCATCGCTCATCGGTGATTTATTCAGGGAATACATCAAACGTTGCTTTGCAATTTCGAGACACAGATCGGGTCTCAGCTCGCTGAGATATTCGTAGCCGTACGGCAGGCCCTCGCAATTTTTTAGCAAGAGGTTTGCCGCCGCATCCAAATAATTAAGTGTCTTCCTGTTATCTTCATTAGCGGCAATCTTGGCAGACATGAGCAGCAGCCGCACGTTTGTCGAATGCGGCTGAATTTCCATCATGATGTCTATCTATGGAACATAATATACAAAATAAATAATATATTTTTTCATAAAGTAACAACAGAAAATGTTGAAAAAATGAAGAAAAAAGGCAATAAAAATGAAACGCGCAAAAAACAATTTGTTGATAAAAAATACGAAACAAAAACGTCTCCTTTTGTATTTTTTATCAATAAATTGATTTGTGTCTTTTTTTTCCTCGTTAATATCTTCATATATTTATATATAAAATATCATATTAACATACTTTTGTATTTCCTTTTATTAGTTGAAAAATTGGAAAACTAATTTCAAAGATTTTTGAAAAATTAAGTGCATATTCATTCGTTCTTTCATTTATTTACCTGCTGGCGCGCCTGGTCCAGATCGTCCGCAGATCCGTGCAGCAGTTGGCAATGAGCCAGTCCCATGAGGGCCGCGAAGGAGGACTGATCCGCGCGAATAGCGTTCTTGTACCAGCGCTCGGCGTCTTTGGTATTGCCGAGTGCAATGTACAGGTCGCCCAGCTCCGACATGAGTTCCGCGCTGCCCGACGACGTCGCCTGCAGCATCTTCTCAGCCGCTCGCGCCAGCTCCGACAGAATTCCGTGATCCTGGAACGCTACGCCGGTGAACAAGCGTAGATTGTCGATCAGCAGCAGCACGTTCCGCGATTCGGCGAGCGACAGATTGCGCAGGAACAGCTGCAGCTGCGGCAGACCTTCGCCGGGATTACCATCTCGGCAAAAAGCTACCACCGAGCTCGCCTTGATGGCGTCCAGGTTGTTCGACTCGATCACGAGCACTCGGTTCACCATCTCCAACACCTGTTCCCAGTCCTTCGCCGCCAGCAGGCACTTTGTCTTCTCTATTAGCGGCAGAGGCAGCTTAGGATAGCGCACAACCAGGGAATTCAGTATCGACACAGCCTCCGAGTGGTTGCCGGCGCGTCGCTTCACCTCCGCGGAGCCCAACAGCGCGCTCAGATTCCTCGATTCCTCCTTCAGCACCGAATCGAAAAAGCTCCCCGTTTCCGCGATGTCCGCGCCGGACCTCAGATTGAGCTCCAGCCATCCCTTGACGAGTAGCACGTTAACATTCGTAGGCTTCAGCTTGTACGCTCTGTCCACGTATTCTTTCGCCTTGTCGGCTCTGCGCGAGAGGATCAACACAGACGTCGCGAGGCACAGCGCGACGCAGGAGGCTCTTCTGCGTTCGTCCCGGATCCTGTTTTCTATCTGGCTCACGGTACTCCTCTCCACGTCGCCGTCCGCCAAGGCGACGCTCTGCACGAGTAATGCCGGTAGCGTGAAGTCCGCTTGGTTCAGCAGACTTGTGTTCTCCTTCACGGCCTCGTGGCTCTTCCCGATAAGAACGTACGCCAGGCAGAGCAACAGACGCAGACGCTCGCTGCCAGGATGAGCGTCGCGCGCCTGCTTTGCTTGAGCCAGCATGCCGTTGTAGTAACGCTGGCGGCAGTACCACTCGATCAGAGCCACGTATTCTGCCTCCTCCATTTTTTTAGTTTTTTCTTTGTTACAATTTTTTAATTTTTAAACTCAACTCTGAAATTTTAAAAATGTATGAAAATGTAAAGAATAAAATATATGTCTTGGCTACCTAAATTTTTTATTTGTAACCTTGTATTGAAGTTAGAACTTGAAGTCTTCGGGATCCGGCAATTCATAAACAGTATCAGGATGCAGAGCGGTCGAGTTGGGACCATCCAGGATGTCAGGCGGACCCACAATGCGTTCTTCCAGATCAGAATTTTTCACTGCGCGATAATACTTCTGCAGGTACTCGCATCTCAAGTACATGTAGTAATCGTTCACTATAGCATACGTGAACGCTGTCTGAAAATGCACAAATATATGTATGCTCTATTTCAAAAGTTCAAAGATACTTGGATAAATCTTGAAATACTTTAATCTTTTAAATAATATATTAAAGTTTAATTATGAACATCTAAAAGTAAAGTAAGTTATAGTAAATTTTAGATGTTAAACTAACAATTTAGTAAACATAAAAATAAAATTGTAAAACTATCCTTGTAAACATATTACTGATAATATATTAAACAAATCAATAATTATAATCTGCACATTTGCATCAAATTAAAAATTAAAAGGTAAGTTCTGCTGCTTTTATACCTCAGCTAAAAGTCGTGCCAGACCTTGACCTTTGTATTTTGTAGGCACAGTAACCGATTGCATGTCCAACACTTTCCTATCAGTTTTATATCGTAATACTGCTCGTGCTGCAAGCCAATAATCAATATGTTATTAAAATTAACTAAATCAATTAAAATATTTACATGCAAAATTGATAACATATGTATAAGACAATCTTTCTGTTATACAAATTTAAAATGTCTTCACTTTAATTCTTTCTTTAATGTCCAATTATTTATCTTCTATTCTATTTCTCTAATCAAAAATTCTCTAATCTATTCTCATTCCTTTTCTTTATATAACCTTTTTATTCTCCCAAAAAGTTGATTAAAGTAAAGATAAAATATTTAATAGTCTTATTCATTCAAATTAATTTGGATCACAAAAAATTATAAATAACTTCTGAAATTGTGGAGTTTTTGAATATCATCTTCTCTATACATCTTTACAATTTTACAATTTCTTTCTAATTACCTATATGTTTATATTAAATGCTTACATTCATCGTCTAGCTGTACGTAAAATGTGCCGCGGTTTACGTTGTGTCGAACGATGTGCAGGAATCGCCGTTGACGGATTATGCCATTTCCTATTTGCCTCAACGCGATGGAACGCAATTTCAATGCGGCAATGCCCATTTACTTGCTCCACGATTTTCCATTTACATTTTGTTGCAATAATGAGAGTAATAACTGATTTGACAATTCGAAATAGCGGTTAGGTTATACTCGTTGACAACTTCATTGCTATGACAACCGCTGATGCAGAAATCTACATTATTGACGATTCGAAAATTTAGCAAAGACTTGAACCATTTTTGGTTACATCTTTCAGATACATAATTATAAAAAAACATAATTATTAAGTTATATATTCAAAATAAAACGCGATGTTTAACATTACCGAGCAACACTAATCCAATATCAATTAGCATTAATACGTACAATGCTTATAATTATTTTAAAATAACGTTCTAACATATCTTTAATTAAAATAAAACGATAACAGGAGATACACATAAAGAAAGCATCTTCAGTTTTAAAAAATCTATTAGCCTAACAATATTATTTATTTTAATTATTTCAACATTTTGTTTGGTCAATATATAACTTTCGAGGCGCACCGAGACCAATTAAAATGTCAAAAACTAGATTACATTAGTGCACATTACATGTGCATAATGTATGTCTAAAAATAATGTTTTCTCGAGACAATTTAGTTTTAACTGAAGAAGTATCGAGACGACAGGATTCCGTTGATGTCGAAGTCACCCTTCTTTGGTAGATTCTTGAAAACGTGCATGCCCACTGCTTGATTCCTTTGTATGGGGCTAAAATTTCAATTAAGTAATTTTAACATTGATATTTTATTTTCTTTTATTTTATGATTTGCACAAGCTTCTAGATCTTTTTCAGATTTTTCAAATTTTGATGCTAAAAATTTTTTAGATGTTTTGATCATCAAAGATTTAAAGTATGCGAACTACTTACTGTTTGAGTGTGAAGTGATCTTTGTATTTCTCACAAAAGAACTTGGACAAATCTTCGAGGATGGGCTCGTTGTGAAGCATGACAAATTGCTCTCGGCAGATCTGAAAGCGGAAAAGGATTAAAATTTCATCCAAAAATATTCGAAGTGATGTATGCGCGCGTCCGTTTCTCACTCTGTTCATAATGTCCACCGTGCAGGGATGCGTCCAGAAACAATCGTGCACCGACATAAATGTGATTCCTGCCTGCTCGCAGTGCAAGCTCGTCAGCATCATGTGGCTGGAGTCCAGCGAGTGAATAAAATTCGGCGGAAAAGCATTCTTTTGCTTCATAGTGTCCGGTTTTATATTTGACGTTCTGTGAGCATAAAATATTTTTATCATGAAGATAGATGTGAGAAATAAAGAAAGAAATATAAAACATATGTATGAAAGAAATACTTGAATATGAAAAACATAAAAAAATATGTTACAAAATGAGCAGCCAAGGCCAAGCCAATTGTCATTTGCTTATATATAATTACACCATCTGTCTATAAACTTACTTGCCGAGCTTCTTTTGACTAGTCGACTTGATTCGCCTGAAGTAGGGCTGCAAAACCGGCAGACCAAGCGGCGTCACCCATTGCACATACTGATTGTTGAGCGAGATAACGCCAGCACACTGCGTGAACCAGTCCTGAATTTCCTTCGCGCTTGCGAACATCGTCTGCAGAGATTTGAATGTCTTCTCGGTCAGATACTGGCTGCCGCTCCAGACGTAATTATGATCGAACTCCTTCAGGTCGCTCAGCTGCCGAGCTATCTGTAGCCTGGCGCCGAATTTCGTCACTCCGTACACCGTCGTCATCACCGTCTGCTTGATGACCTTCCTGCTGATATGCCCTTCCAAGACTTTCGCCACTTTGACGTCGGCATTGGCGTCAATTCGCCTATAGTTGTCGACGTAGCTGGCGACGACGCTGTACACGTCCTGCGGCGTGTCCATGGGACATAGATTCACGCTCTCCGCACCGATTTGGTCGCGCCCGAGCGCGGCATAGTGCTGCAGCCCGTTGCAACTGCCATCCTGATGAATAGGGAGACTGCTGACGTACCGCTCCACGTCTGGCGACTGCAGGGCATAGTCGATCTCCTTGCACGCCGCCAGCGTCTGCCACGGCTCATCGGACTTCGTCCACCACATCTCGCCCGTGAGCGGATTCCGCGCGCTGTCGATGATCAGGTCGAGGATCTCGTTCGCGAACTCCAGCCGCTTGTGTATCGGCTCGCGCTTCTTCATGCCGGTCAGATTAATCGTGTGTATCTTCAGCCAGTCCAAGCCGTTGGGCCCGAGCGGTTTGCCCTGCGCGAACATGAGAATCGAGCGGCCCAAGTCTGACGTGAGGTGAGTCATGTGAGGCGGCACCGGATATACTCTGCCTCGGAAGTCGAGATTGTGCGGCAGCCAGAACACCTTGTCCCTGAAGTGATTCGCCAGAGACAACTTGTAGAGGCAGTCGCACCACAGCGAGTACATTTCGTTCTTCCTGCGCTTCAGCTGAACCAGTAAATGCGATATCTTGCTGTTGTCAACCTTGCCGCCTTCGCGCGATATAAGATCTTTCAGAGACGGCAGCGCCGAGGGCGGCTGCGGCACTTCCAGCTTTTCCGAGCCGCCATTCTGGAAGATCTCGATTAAAATATCCAGTATGGGCTTGTTGATCTGCCACGGAATCGTGCCGAGTTGGTTCAAGCAATCAAACGCCGGATACAGCTGCTTCGTTGGCGTTTTACTCAGCAGATACGTCGGCGTCATATACGGATCGCGGACGAACTCCGCCTTCGAGATGAGATAGCCGCCGGTGTTGATGTCGATCCACGGACGCGGCGGCGAACACATCGGCAACAAGATCGTGTCGAAGGTCAGCGTCTCCGGATGCGATTCTTTGTACACCTTGTACAGATGCGGGTGTGGCTTGATTTCCTCCGTCAGATAGATCTTGGTTTTATTTCGGTAGAGTAAGTAGAACGCGGGAATCAGTCGTTCGGGCGCGCCCGCCTTGAATACGTGAGGAATCTTCACGTCGTTTATGATGATGTTGTACAGAAACTTGCCGATGTTCACCAGAACGTGTCGAGGCCACTCTGGCACCATCATCTGCGAGTGCAGACCGGATTTGTTCATCTCATGAACGAGCTGCTGCCATTTGCTACGCCCGTTCACGCTGCTGTCGGTGGAATCCTTTTGCAAATACCACTCCAAGTACTTATCGTAGACTTGTATCACATTCTCGATGATGCCAGCTTTCATCTTGCAATGAAACTAAACGCAAAGTTTGTCACGTGAGCTTCATAATGCGTTTAATACGTTTAAGATTGTTCATTTGTTATTACATAAGTTTGAAGCATAAATTTTATGTATTATATAAATTTTAACTACCTGATATTTTGTGTAAATATATTTTCCTAGTGTTGTATAAAGATTTAACATAGGTAAGCTGTACACGTCCGAGGATCTGGCCAGCTGGTTGATCTCGCGCAAAATCGCGTTGATGTATTCCTCCTTGGGCAGGACTTCCAGGAACGGATATAAAAATTTCAAATCCTGTTTGCTGATCTCTTTCTGTTTCAGGTAAGTCAAGTTTCTCTCGAAGGCCTCCTTCACGACTAATTTCCAGGTTTTTGTCCATTCCGCGATTTGTCCCACCTAAAAGCAACATGATTAACTAACTTCAATTCAAGTTGTTTAAATTGATACAGTTTTCTCAGAATAATTTTTTAAACAAAAATTACAGTAATTTAAAAAATTACAAAATTGCATTAGTTTTAAATAAAATTTAAAAACTTACATTAGATTAAAATGTTGAAGTGTGAAATAAACAAAAGTTGACTTAATTCTCAGATAAATTAGAATTACGTTTAAAATTCATTCGATGAAATTCACTTACAGCCTGCTGTCTAACGTTGGGATCCCCGGTGAACTGCGTGATACTCTTCACTTCCATCGTGCACCGCTTCTCCATTTCGAGCTGTGTACGCACCATGTCTCGCAGCTCGTTCGTGTTCGTTATTACTCCCTTTGCTGGGCACTGATAGTTCTTGACCGCCGTCAAGTTCTGCAGCAATTTGCAACTGTGCGAAGTATTGATGTTTTTGTATCGCACGCGATATTCCGGATCTACGAGCTGAATGCACCGTAGAACATCATCGCGCTGATTAACCTTCATAAGCACTGTATTCATTATCTTATCGAAAGAGACGTCGTTGCGATTCATATCCGCAACTACATCTGCCATTTTCTCTGCAAGGAATCGTTATAGATTTAAAAAATGATCTAAAGTATTTTAGTTTTACAAGATATAAAACTCGTTGCTTTTAAGAGCCGATCCACTCACCTTCTTGGCTTTCCTTATGTTTCATTCTCACGATTACTTGAAACATAAGAGCGTACGTCTGCGCGTCGGGTGTGATGGAATTTTCCTTCATTATTTGATGGATCTCGAAGACCTTTGGCATATTTCTGTTAGAGACGTAAAACTCCATGAACATATTGTACGGCGTGGGGATGTTAGTGCGTTTGAGTAGATCGGAATTCTTCATCAATATCTTGGAGACCTTGGTCAGCATTTTGTTCTGTATATAGATGTCCACGTAGGCCAGCACTTGCAATATCAGATTCTGATCGGTGAGGGAATCCTCGAATATATCCTTTTGCTTCGTGAAGGGAATTGTGGCGTAAAAACTCTCGTTCGAACTCTTGTTGCACTTGGATGCATGTGCGCTAAAAAGACAAGTTGTCGATAAAGATTTTTCAGAAAATATTCCAATTACATTCGCACTTACAGCGATGGCTCATCCTTGAGGTCATTCTCTTTGTTTCGTTGCAATATGTCCAAAAAAGTAGAATCCTTAATTAGTGTAGTGTTATCGCTTATACCACATTCCTTTAGGTTTTCTATCACTGTGGACTTGTCCTCTACATACTCTTCAGATTCCTTAAGTATCATATTATATGTGTTGTCTAGATGGTCTTCCTGAGATCGACACATTAATTAAATTTTCAAAAGGAATAATATAATTTAAATGTAATTTATCATCATAATTATCTTATACTTTCATTCTAATCTTTATCTTCTTTTCAAAAGATAATAAAATAAAATTTTGATCTACTTACTGTATAAACTAAATCCTTCGAAAATTCAGTCTTAGCATTGTTTGCTTGTGTTGTGGTCGCTCCCTTGTCGAGATGAGCAATATCGTGCAATTTATTAGTATCAGGCTGATCGACTAAAGCAGATATATGAGCAAAGTTTAACTTGTGTACTGCTGCTTTTCTGTTGTTTTTCTGACATGGTTCTATTGTGATGGAATAAAGGGCGATTAACTGTTAGTATATTTTAGCTTACTTCTATGTTATATATTCATTATTTGTAACGTGTAGTAATGTACAATTTCATATATACCTTCTGGCTTCTTAGAACGACGCTTGATCTGCTTCCAGGGAGCTTGAAGTTCTACTTCCACATCAGTTGTTGCATAATGACGAAGCTGTGTGTGTCTCAATGCTGAAAATACATAAAATAACTTGTAACATATATATATTTGTATATATCTTCTTCACAAAGATCAATACATTTGTGACAAGAGTAATTTTCTAAAAATTTTAAGCAAATAATTAAGACTTGTGTTAATTTATGAAATCATTATTTTATGTCAATAAACATAATAAAATATTAAATCAGAGCAGTGCAATTATAAAGTACAACTATAGTGTAGTTTTATTTTGTTAATTAAAAAATATTTTAACAAAATAGAAATTGTAATAACATAAAAAAAAATTTATTTTGTAAAAGAGGAATATATCGTTTGTAAACATTTTATACAAAATTCATTTACACGTGCTTACGTTTGAGTGGTTTTAAATGGTAGAACTTGCAGAACGAGCAGAATCGCATTGAGCACTGCACGGTAGGACGTGCTGACACGATACGAGCATTCTGCATCGATGTGAGGCGTGTTCTCAGGAAGTTGAACATCTTAGAATAATCGCGGAATAAAAATTATTAATTGTTAGAAATATCATCGACGAGACGAAAATCTCGCTAACCTCAACACGTGAACCGCCATAACACACGCTCTATATAGCGCACATATAAACATGGCCCCTTTAGGGTGCAGTCCACGGACTAAGGAATAGAGAGACGGAGCACAAGCTGTACCGCGGGAGCACGTTGCGGCGTGGGGGGGGGGGGCCACCATATTCGTTTAGTAATCACCACACATAGAACTCACTATTTGCGTATATGTGAGTTGTAGATCAAACCATTGTGAGTAGATCCAACCATAATTTTATAGTTGGATCGACCATAATCCATTGTGAGTAGATCCAACCATAATTTTATAGTTGGATCGACCATAATCCATTGTGGTAGATCGGAAGAAATAGCAGGATAAAAAATTCACTAGAATTCTGGTGAGAAATCCATTCCGATCCGTGCTTAATAGGACTGCACCCTCAGTCTTCTCTCTGGTTACATAAATGTCTGCGAGCAATTGTTACTTCTCTCAGTTTCGTTGTACGTTTATGGTTGCGCTGTTGCGCATGTGAAGAATTTGTTCCATGATTTTTGGTTGTTTTTCAGCAAGAAACACGGGTTGACGAAAATATTATTCTTTCTGTTGCTCGTTGGATATCGAGCGAAAATAGAATGACTTGTGTCGACTTGTGTCAATGGCTTAGTTTACATCGATTGTTTAGTACGCGTACCAAGTACGAAATCTGCTTCTCCGATAGATATAAATCGTTTAGTGTAAAATCTACACCAATCAAAGAAGTAGATTTAGTACTTGTACGTACTTGGTACGCGTACTAAACAATTGGTGTAAACTAAGCTATTAGCTGGAAAACAATTTTCAATTCGAAATCTCAACGGTAACAGATCGTACGTCGAGGCGTGCACCATGACTGTTGATTCAAGGAAAAGTCGGCAAAATTATTTCGAAACGTTAAGTAGAAATTATTACAGTTGTCGGACTGATAGATACAGCATTAAAAAAGCATTGTCTTTTGATTCCTTTTTGAACTAACAATTATAATGTACGAAAATGTAATTATGATGCTCGCGCAACGTCGATTCAAAGGTAACTATATTCATATTTTTAACGTATATCTCTAGTGATGTTTTTCCCTGCAAAATTTGCCGCACTATTCTGCACACAGTATTTATCTAGCAAAGTTTTTTTATCATCTATAAAAACATTTATGCTCACTTTTATATAAAATTACAGATTTTTAACAAAAAATAGAAAGAAAGGGATAGAAGAAAATATCAAAAATATACAGGGTGTCTGGCAATAATCGCCCCACCGGTCATATACAGGTAGAGGAGGTCAAATCGAGTAGAAAAGTCCTTTACCATTTTTTAATTTTCATAATAAGTACTGAGTAATTAACGAAAAAAGATCGGCAAATCCGCGCGAGTAAAGCGCGCGCGGTGAGAAGGACGTCCCACTGCTACGCGATCACTAGGACACAAGGATCTAGCGTTACGCGCCGCTCGTATGTTGCCATTGTCATTTGTAGAGCGCTCCTCCCAACGCTTCATCGCGCGCCTAGTGATCGCATAGCAGTGGGATGTCCTTCTCGCTGCGCGCGCTTTACTTGCACGGATTCACCAATCTTTTTTCGTTAATTACTTAGTACTTATTACAAAAATCAAAAAATGGTAAAGGACTTTTCTACTCGATTTGACCTCCTCTACCTGTACATGACCGGTGGGGCGATTATTGCCAGACACCCTGTATAAATAATGAGAATAGACAGCAAGAAGTAATAAAAATGAATAGATAAGTTGGCCTTCTAATGAGGAAATAAGTACTGCGACATGACTCCGTATGATTAACCTTTTCAACATGGGAGAATGAATCGAATTGAGGACATACATCCTGTAAGTAAAAGAAAAAAAAAGAGCACTTTGATATTATACGACTAGTATAATAGTTATAGTCAGTAAGTCAGAATAAATGACGTCAGAAAATGAATCATCGATTTACTGAACAGAAAGATACACTTTCCTACAAATGTATCGCTGATCTCAGGGGAAATTTCGCGCCTTTCAGGTTTATCCCGTTCATTTGACTTTTCCTCCTTTCATTTATTTCTTGTGCGGAACTTTTCTCTCACGCGAATCAAGGTGTAACATCAATAATAAATAAGCTACGCAAACGAGTTTAGTGATTAATTCCAATTAATTAATTTTGATTAATTCTAGTAAATCGAAAATAATTAATTACATCTAATAAATCTCAAATAATTGTTTTAAAAATTCCCATACTTTTGTATATAATTATTAATTATTTAATAATTAATATATAAAAATTAAAATAAAATAAGTTTTAAAGAAGTAAAAAAAAAATATACGTTGTCTTGCGCTTTTTATGCATTTAACGAAATAAAAGTTTGTTCCAGTTTCGAAAGAAAGCGAGATGGGAGAAACAAAGCGCACAGGAATTGGTGTAATTCAATTAAATATTATAGCTACGCGTACTATCAAAAACCGTCTATATCAAACCGACCGCAACTTTCACGAGTTTTGCTAATAACCGAATCCTATCCTTGACTTGTGTGCGAAACGAGGACGGCTAACAAAAACGCGAACGAGGGTATTGTTATTAGCAGCCGTGGATTTGCGCGATTAATACGTTGCAACGGAGCGATTCTACTTTTTCACAGTTGCGAGAGACCGCGCGAGACGTTGTTATACGATCTCTCAATGATAATTAATGTACGATGAATATCTTTGTTAATTACTCATTGAGGTAATCGTCACTTCTTTATAGTTTTCATTGACGACCGCAATCATCGCGTCATATATTTAACACATCTCGGATTCATGCTTGTCTTTGAATATAAACAAAACAAATTTTTGAAGTAAAATTAAGTTCTCAAGCACCTACAATCCTCAGACATGAATTTTTTTCAAAAGGTCACACAATTCGGAGTTCCTCGTCGAGGCATGAGTCAACCCAACGACGCGCATCCAGCGAGTCTTCCTCGAGGATTCTCGGATCTAAATTATGGATATTCCGAGCGAGGACGCCGTCTGCGGAGTGAAGCGCAAACGAAAACACGCCGCGGAAACGCGCCGCGGAAAAGCGCCGAGGGTCGGCTGGAGGGAGACGCGTCCTTGATTGACGCGATGGGTGTTAATACGTATAAAGGAAACCGTCGTCGACGCCGCGAGTTCAGACCCCGAGCTGACAGCTGACCGTCATCATGCCCATCAACGAGGACACACCATCCAGCGACGCGTTCGACCGGACGGAAGCCGAGAGGATGAGCGCGGAATTGCAGCGGACGATGCCGGGGAAGTATTCGCAGGCGGGCGTATCCGTAATCCCGGAACACGCAAACGGCACGCGGGAGCGGAACGGGATCGAGGAACAGCACTTCCGCAGCATGCCGCGTCGGGAGGTCCATGAGAAACTCTTCAGGAACTTCTTCGAGCTCGTGTTGCAGCGTGCGGTGTTCAAAGTGAGCAATCTATTTCACTTTTACTCGCTTCTCTGTTTACCAACAGAATGAGACACAAGTTTACAAATGAAGAAGTTCCGGATACTAAAGACCTCGCGCGCAAAACTTGTTAATTAGAGAAATAGTGAGAGAAAAATAGTAATAAGCGCAGTTGCAAGAAAAAAAAGGTCAACGAGACTAAAAAAAAGGTACAACGAGACTAAAAGAAAGTGAACTATGATAATTATGAGATATCGAAGGATTGCACAACAGATAACAGTAATTTTAGCTCGATAATTATTCTCCTTTTAGTATTATCACTATTCGTGTGCGTATTTCGATGCGCTGTACTGCAACGTGTCATAAAGTTCTCTTAATCTTATAATTGTGTGCAATTTTTATAGAATGTGCATTCATTTACGTCGTTGAATAATTGATGATTGCATTTCAGCAATTATCGTTCAATCGTTTACTCGCAGCTTTTGCATGTTTATGCTAATCGTTAATTATTTTGTGCAATTTGACCTTATCGATTATTTCTTATCGATTATTTCTTTGTTTAATATAATATTAATCTACGGCGTTTATATAGTTTTTATTTTATTTTGTTTAACACATTTTCTCGTGCCTCGTTTGTGGCAACTTGCTCTACAAGAATGATAGAAAACTATTGTGATCCGCGTATTTCTACCATATTTTAATAATGTAATTTATTAAATTTTCATATTTTATTTTATCTCGCAGAAAGAGAACATTATTTGATTTTCTTTTATCTACTTGAATTTACGTATCAGCTTTCGCAAAGCCTGGGATTTATGCTATCACGCTGCTATCGTTATTGGCGGCGATACCAGAAGTAATATCACGAATTCGATTTCTCGCCAGAGACGAAGAATCTCCGGGGCAGCAAATTGATATCATAGATTCCTGCTGATCATGTCATTAATTACCATCTTTAAAAGGCATAAATAATCGAGCGACGTCAAGAATAACGCGCGCATTGCCGGCGAATAATTGGCAGTGGTGCAGCTAATCGCATTCTTATGCTAATGCCATTTGTCACGAATGCGACGGAACGGCGGAAATTTATGCTGTGCGGCGCGAACTCACGTGTACAATACAGTGGTGATAGTAATAATTATGGTTGTAATGCAGCGAGTGTACTTAGCGGTAATTAAACAGCTAATCAATCTCATTATTATGCGCTATTTCTCCGGCAAATTAGAGACGCAAATTGTACATATGCGGGTGCGATCAGGGACGCGGCGAGAATAAGCAGAATTCTCCGCAACGAGCGCAGACACATGCCGTTGAATAAGATACACTGGACGATCCAATTAACGTGATTGTTTGTTTCCTTTTAATTACTCAACTAGCAACTGCTTTCGCACTTCCAATTTCTGTTTATTTCTGTTAATGCATTTTGTACCGCACAGTCCACTTCCGGCGAGGATCGAGTGGTCGAATGGGTGGGCCCTCACGATCTGCGCTCCGTGGTCGATCTCTCGCTGCCGGCCGACGGCGTCGGTCACGACGAGCTGCTGACGCTCACGCGCGACATCATCCGCTACAGCGTGAAGACGGGCCACCCGCACTTTGTGAACCAGCTGTACTCCAGCCTGGACCCGTACGGGCTGCTGGGCCAGTGGCTGACAGACGCGCTCAATCCGTCCGTCTACACGTATGAGGTGTCTCCGGTGTTCTCACTGATGGAGGAGGACGTGCTGCGGGAGATGCGCGCCATCATCGGCTGGCAGGGCGGCGAGGGCCTCTTCTGCCCGGGTGGATCCATGGCGAACGGATACGCCATCAACCTGGCGCGCCACAGCAGGTGATAATTCATCTGTAAATTATTCATTAATTGTTATCACTTTATTTGGAATCTTTATTTCTAATCAATATTTGGTTTGATTTTTTTGATATATATATATGAAGGCTGTTCTTAAGAATTTACATGGATTGCAAGCGTCGACGAAATTTTAGACAATCTGTACAACTTTAGAACAGTTCACGTAATATTTTCTCTTTTTCCAAATTATCTGTTCTGAGGGTGATTGTTTCCATGTCAACATTCCAATGATAAAGAAATTTCTTAGAGAAATATTAAGAGTACCGAGCGCTGAAACTGAAAAGTAATAATTTCTATAGCATATTAAGCAAACATTTTGAAATTGTTCTCTGAAAGGCAATACTGGTAACAACGCCTAATTGAAAAATTATACAAAAGTAATAATTAGACACGCACAGCGTATTTGCATCAATTAAAAAACTTGCTTTTATCATTTGCTGTGTCATAATTTGTGATTAGCGTCAAATAACATTAACGTTCACGTTATTACCTTCCAGATATCCGCAGCTGAAGCAATCCGGGTTATCGCAGGTGCCGCGGCTGGTGGTGTTCACGTCGGAGGACGCGCACTACTCCGTGAAGAAGCTCGCCGCGTTTCTGGGCATCGGCTACGACAATGTGTACCAGGTGAAGGTCGACGCCCGGGGCAAAATGGTGGTGTCCGATCTGGAGGTTCAGATCGCCCGAGCCGTCAAGGAAGGCGCCGCGCCGCTCATGGTATCCGCCACCGCGGGCACCACCGTGATGGGCGCGTTTGATCCTCTCCGCGACATCGCCCAGATCTGCAAAAAGCACGGCTTGTGGTTCCACGTGGACGCAGCGTGGGGCGGTGGCGCCCTGATCTCCAGGAAGCACCGCGGACTGCTGGACGGCGTCGAGCTTGCCGATTCCGTCACTTGGAATCCTCACAAGCTCCTCGCCGCGCCGCAGCAGTGCTCCACCTTGCTACTTCGTCATGAAGGTCTTGATATTTATTGTTTTTGATTTCATTAATGGAAGATAATTTTTGATAATTTTTATAATCATATTTTTTTAGAAGATTAAAAAATTAATATTAAAAAAGAAATTAAGAATAAACCAACAAATCAATCTGCGTGCATTTTCAGTGGAAAAAATATTCTTAATTAAAATGACAAAGAAACATTCACTCTCTGCTTCATACTTCAATCTTAATTAGGACATTGTACAATAACGATACAAAAAGAGCGAAAGTTGGTTCCACATCGATGGAGAAAAGAGCAAGGATAATCGAAGCGTGTCCTTCACTATTTGCCGAGCAGCAAAAAGATTTCATTTCTCAATTGATATTATCAATATATTTCAATTAAATTGTAATCGCGATCAGAGATATATTTTTTGCACAAATTATTTTCTTTTCTTTTTTTCAACTAAAACATAAATATGCGAATGACAAGTTTTATTTTTTCCACTTAGGTTTGCTACAAGCAGCACATGGCTGCGGCGCGAGTTATCTCTTTCAGAACGACAAGTTCTACGATCCGTCGTTCGACTGCGGTGACAAGCACGTGCAATGCGGCCGTCGCGCCGACGTCGTCAAGTTCTGGTACATGTGGAAGGCGAAGGGTACGCGCGGTCTTGAAGCCCACGTCGATCGCGTGTTCGCGCTGTCGCGCCACTTCGTCGACCTCATCAGGACGCGCGACGGCTGGCGCCTGCTCGCCGAGCCCGAGTGCACCAACGTCTGCTTCCGTTACGTGCCGCCGTCGAAGAGGCATCTGACCGGCCGGGAGCTCGATCAGGCGCTGCACAAGGTTCGCAATGCCGATTCAATTCGATCCCGTTTTAAGGCCGTGTTTCTGTCGACGACACTAAAACTCAAAACAAAATCTAAAGACAAGCCTGAAAAAGATAAATTATTTTTCTCTGCTTAAATCAATGTTTAAATTAAGTCTAGACTTAAACATTTCTGACGCAGAAGTTTTTTTCACTCTGTCAATTATTTTCCATGCACTTCTGGTTTGCAAATTTATATTGGTTTTTTTTCTAACTCCCACTGAATATTTAATCTATTTTTTTCTCTTTTAATTTCCATTTTAATTTGATTTCGAATCGTTGCAGATCGCGCCGATGATCAAAGAGCGTATGGTGCGAGCCGGAACGATGTTGATAACGTATCAGACACTGCGGGACATGCCGAATTTCTTCAGATTGGTCCTGCAAAATTCAGGATTAACCGAGGCCGACATGAAGTTCTTCGTTGAGGAGATAGAAAGGCTCGCTGCGGATTTATAGGCGGCTTAAGTGTTGTAAATAATAGGTTAGTAATAAAATATGTGTATTATTATATATTATTATAAAAAAATAAATAGATGAAATTTGGTAAAACATCATCGTGATCCTCGAACGAAAGCAGAAAACGATCAATAATACACTTCTTTCTCTGTCTCTCATTCAATTTTAATTTCTATATAACACATTATTCAATTTGTTTTTGATTATACTATTGACTGTTGTCAATATAACAATTAGAAATATGTACACATATTTTCTCCAGCAATAATTTACATTTACGTACAACAAATTTCGAGTTTCGTCACAACTTCTATAGAACTCGACAGCAACATGTAAGCGACTCTGGATAGCTAGTCGTTAATTGTATTAAAAATATTTCACATTCTTGTGGCGCGCGCTCAAAGCGGAGAAGTTGGTCCGCGCGTACAGATATGCACAAATCCTAGGCGGTCTTTTTCTTTCATCTCGATCCATTCTGTTTCGATGTTCTCGCAATCGGCAGTTTATTTCGAGCAGATTTAGCTGTACTCTTTGAGAAATTTAATATGGAACTGTTTCAACGCCTCGAGCATCGACTTAATCTTATCCTTCTGCGGCAGTATCGTTGTTCGAAAGTGGAACGTGCCGGGCCTCTGGCCAAAGCCCGAGCCCGGGATCACGCAGATCCCGGTGCTCTCCAGCAGCTTGAACGCATAAAGGACGTCTGGCTCCTGACCCTTCGCCCGCGCGTCCTCGATCGCCTTCGGCGGCAGCTCGAAGCGCGGGAACACGTACATCGCGCCCATCGGTGGATTCGCCTAAAAAAAGAAAGAAATATAGAGTTTGATGCGCCGAGAGAAATCTGTTGAACAAAATAAAGGACAATCACTTTATATCCAGGAATACTGTTGAGTGTGTCGACGACGAGCTGCGATCTCTCCGCCAAGGAGCGCAGTGTTTCTTTCTTTTCCTTCTGAAATAGCTCGTACGACGGCTCGTTCGGCTGCGGCGGATTCACCACGACGTCCATCACCACCTGGCCGAGCACCGTCGGACACAACATCGCGGAGATCGATTTCAGCAGTACCTTCATCACCTCCGAATCCATGTTAATGAGCTCGCCGTAGCCACCGCGAATCCCGCACTCGCCCATGTATCCTAAACAGACATTTCAATGTAAATTTTTCCACCGAGTTTATTCCTCAATTTAATTTAATCGAAATTTCATGTTTTTTTTGTGTAAAAAGGTTACTCAAAATTGTTCGAAAGTCACATTAAAAAGTCAATCAATTTTTAATTAAATTATTTTTTTTATTCTTCTCGATTCCGCTGTTCTGTTATTAACCTTTCGAGATGGACATGAAGGATGCAAGCTCCATCTTCGAGTACGGCTCGCCCATCTCCGTCATGACCTTTTTGAAGGAATGGAACGCGCTGTCCTTGTCGTATATATTATCCTGGTAAACTTCGTCGGCGAGTAGAAACAGGTGGTTCTTATGGGCGAAGCGAATGACGTTCTCAATGTTGGCGCGAGTCAGCACCTGGCCGGTCGGATTACCGGGATTGATCACCACCAACACTCGCGGATTGCATGTGCCCTTGATTTCGTTCAGCGCGCGTTCCAACTCGCCGACCTCCAGCGACCACTTGTTGTCCTCGTCGAGATAGTATCCAATCGGCGCGAGACCGAACTCCGCCAGGGTTGCCGAGTACAACGGGTACTGCGGAATCGGGATCAGCACGCCTGACGGTTTGTTGTCGATTTTCTCGTTGAACAATTTCAGAAATGACTGCAAGAAAGAGAGAGATTAGAAAGTGATGTCAAAATATTTGTGCTGCAAGAGAATTTTTCAATAACTTTTTGCTTTCTTTTATTTGTGAATTTAGTTCAATCAATATTTTCAAATTAAATTGCTCGAAAAATTCAATATTTTAATTGTACTTTCTTTACAGTTCCATTGCTTTCGCGCATGCATCTTTCTCGAGATCTTTTTACAATTATAAAATAAAATATACAATAATACAAAAATTAATAAATACACAGCACAAATAGTTCAATACAATAATCTAATAAAACTGAGAATGAATGTTTTCTGGTTAAAATAGCACGGAAAGTTGAATACTTCAATTAAATTACTTTTAAAACAAAAACTGGAAAAAATCATCAATTTAAATAAATATATAATAAATATAATTTTTTTCAGATAAAAAATGAAAAAAATAGCGAGGTTTCAAATCCGCATACCTTGATGCCGTCGGAAGCGCCGTTGGAGAGGATAATATTGTGATAGTCGCAGGGAATGCCGCCGTCGCGTTCCTGGATGTATCGCGCGACGTGCTTGCGGACCACCTCGATGCCAGCCGATTCCGAGTACGAGCCCACACTACCGCCCTTGCAGCCCTCGAGTACCATGCGGGCGCGAGCCTTCGCGTCTTCCGGATAGCTCGGATCATCCAGTAAATTCGGTGAGACTGTCAGGGTCAATACTTGACGTAGAAACGTTATCGGTTGCTGGCCCATCGCATGGGCGTCACCCACGTTGGCCTTGATCACCTCTTTGAACGGTTTTTTAGCACCCTGTAAAAAATAGACAATCTCGATCTAATTATGTAATAATTATGATAGACGCTTTCGTAATTACATGAACAAGTACAGGACGTCCTACAAGAGCAAACTTTGTCAAATAATGATATCTCGAAGAATTTAAAGCCGATCTTTTTTTAGTAAAAATTTTATTATCCTTTTTTTCTGCTTCACAATTATTTCATCAAATATTTTAATAATTAAGCATCAAAATTCTATCGAAACGAGATCCATCAAAATTTAACAAAAAAATAAGATTGTATTATACAATCGTTTCCTTCAAGTTTAATTTGATAAAAGTGATAGATTTAAAAAAAATACCGTTTCAGTTAACGTTATAATTTCGCGATTGATTTAATAGAATAATTTTTTTTATTCGCACATTAGAAGAAGGTAACGTATTTTTTCCATTCCATCCGCGTCTAATAATAAAAAGTGATTTTATCTGCGTCTAATAATAAAATTTTATTTGGTGCCTCGAATAGAAAAATACAGAATATTCCTCTTCGACGAAAGTGACTTGTATTTCTCCTATATCAGATAAACTTCACATTGTATATAATTACAGTAAGCATTAACGAGCGTTACGCAATTGCGTGTGAAACGGAAAGCGAGGCGAGAGATGCGCGTTCAATGACGAGGCGGCTATCGGAATTCTTATTCACCATGTAATTGCGCGCAATCGCGTGATGAATAAAAATGCGTTTGTTCGCCAACAAATTGACCGTTTTATATTCACAATGAGTAGAGATTCTTTTTTTTACAACGCATTTTTAAATACTCTCGTATAAAAAAAAAAAAATCCACCGGATGTCTCAATAATGTTTTCGACCTTCGAGAAATATTTCCTAAGGAATATAATTATATTGACACACCGTATATATATAAAAAGGCGTAAACGACGTGTAATGATTACGCAAGAACCGCTATTTACGGAGAAATATTTTTTCAAGCGATAAATGCTTATACACCACCTTATCTTTTAATCGTTTATCGATAATCGACTCTGCTTTAGATAATATTATTTAATATTATTATTAATTGGAGCTGCACTTTATTTGTATATTTATACATATAATCATGAGTGGTCATGTATTAGTGTTGTAATGAGTGGTTTTGCATAAATGCGATAACGCGATATAAGAAATGCTATACATTTCGCGACGTTTTACCGAGTTAAAATTAAAAAAAAAATAAATAAAGGAAATATCCGTGTAAAGATGAAAAGACGTTGTTATGTTTTTCGACTTGGCGCCAGGAATGCTTAAAATTAGCAATTCAGTACAATCTATTGACGATGATTGTGCGACGATTTATTTAATGCACTGCGTGATACGTTATCGTGCAGACGGCATAATTCTTTTTATACAAGTCGGCGGTTGTGTACACAAATGCTGAATCATTTACAGCCCGTCATTTACGAGAAAGATAATTTTTGTCACGCGCGTTCCATAATAATTTTTAAGATCAACAAATTATCGTAACAGTGCGGAATTTATTCCGAATCATTTTAAGTATTTTTAAAAATTGAAGATTAGCTCTCCGTAGCTTTTATAATAATTTATAATAAAATCCGGAGTTTCGCGTGCGATAAATTTATTAGAATATTTTCAAGTGTTTTGTAAAAATTTCTATTCGATAATTCTTTTGTTCTTCTTCCCGAAGTTATTTGGAACGAAAAGAACATAAGAAAAGCGCAGCGTCCGCTATTCAAACGCGCCTTTTATATTTTTACGCTGGAATTGATTATAGAACTCCATTCACGCTTCGCAATTACGAAAAGCTCAATTAGCAATCATTCTTTTCTCTTTCTCTCTCCCCTCCCTTCTCCGATACTTGACGTTTCACCATGGCAACCCCACGTATGTCATTGCGAGCGCATCCTTCCTCCCTCTCACCCCCTCATCCTCGCTTCCATTCAGTTTCGTTTGTATTCTGTATAATCACTGCGTTACTGTGTGTGTGCGCACCATGTGTTCTGCTTGTTTCTGCATTTTTTTGGTCATTGGAGTCGTTCGAAAGTATTCCGGAAGAGCGTGACGAAGCGTCGTCCCTCGCAAGTGTGCTTTTTTTTTTCTTTTCCCTCGAGCTTAGCAGCTTACCTTACCTTTTGCAGCTCCTTCTCGATCTCCAATGCCCGGATGAGCAGCGGGCCGCGAACCGCGTACTCCATCTTGCGCAGGTTCACGAAGACATTGTCCTCGGTGAGGACTTTGCCGCACGGGCCCGCCGCTGCGCTCGCCGCCATGCCTCGACACGGAATAACCGGCTGGAACAGCATGGATGCGGAGGACACCGCCGCCCCCGGCGGCGCCGTCCCTACTTCACGACCAATCAGCGCCCCGCCACCGCTCCCGGCGGCAGCCGGTCTCGTCGTCGTCGTCGTCGCGCTCGTTATCGTCCTCGTCGGCCATCCGCCGGCGATCACGGCGTTCCGCAGGCGTGCGTGCGACATGGCTGGCTCACCCTTTCGCAACTTGCTCCTTTTCGACCTTCTAAAACTTCTCCCTCTTCCGCTGCGCAAAGACCAGAGACAACGCGTTTATTTATCGTCGTTCCTCGTTATTTGTCTGGTCGTCTTGACGTGAGCAATACGTGCGTTCTTGTTTTGTATTTTTTATCTTGTGCTGATCATCGTGCGAGATCAATCACGGGGTGGATCGCAGTTCCGTCTGTGAATCGAATTGAGAGGAGTGTGTGCAAATTGATGTTTGACAATTTGCGATAATCACGCGCACGACACGTCGCTTGACAACCAGTGACTCCGATAGATCCGCGGGATAGCGGGGCAGGAGGGGAGAACACGCACTTTCGAGCCGACGACGTTGCGGCGACGTGGAGTTCGATCCAAGCGGCACGCCACCTGGAGCCGCACTGTCGACGTCGTGGATCTTGGCACAGGATGACCCGCGCGAATATGAATCGCGAAAAAGATTCGCTCTCCTGAAAAAAAGAGATGAATACAAACGTGTAAATGGCGATTTCTGAGGAGTTTGCATCGATTTAATTGAATCTCCGAACGATTTGATGTCCTTTTCATGAAATCACTTAACGATTACATATTTTTATATTATATATATATAGAATAATCTGAAGCAAAAACAGTATTAATTAAAAAATGACTAAGAACTTTTTCCGAAGCAAGACATTTTTAGAACAACAAATAATTAAATTGTGCTTCACATTTTCGAGCTATTGCTTCGAAATTGTAAATTTTAATCAGAAATTTTGTATTTCTCTCAAGGACATTCAGAAAATATAAACTTTTGCAAATTAACATGTAATAAAACATGATAAAATATATAAGCAACACATGAATAATATATTTTTGTGCAATATGAAAATAGCTTTCGACTTCTGGAAAGAATTCAGCTGCATGCGGAATTTTCCGCAATAATTACCGCCGTTAAATTGCGCCTAAACTATTGATCACACCTTTGGCAAATTTTTACAGACACATGAAAGCTGCGGACCAAGTATCGAATGTCACTGGAATTTCCTCTTGTAAACGTGGTCAGTAAGAGAATGATTCGAAATGCGCTTGCGCGCATCTTATTTATCTTGTAGTCGTCGCAAATCAGTGATTCTCGAGATGAATTACATATAGGATCCAAAGAAAATAATAAAGTAAAAAATTATGAATCTATTACCTTCTTTCTCTTATATTCGATTAGACTCAAATTTAATTTTTCATCAAAAAGCTAGATTTAATTGTCGAAAATATAATAGGTACTATGAATAATATTTCGTACTTTGTTAAACAAAGTGAGTCCTAAAAAAATTTAATAGCAAATTTATATTAATTTATTCAAATATGAAAATACATTAATCTGCTGGCAATTATCGCAAGCGACGTTTTTTAATAATTTAAGATACAAGCAGACGTTATGAAACAGTATCTATTTATTATCCACGCTTTTAGTGTCATCCAAAAGAAACAATTCTGTAGATTCTACACTACGTACTTGAGATCATCATTGAGAACCATTAAGTGTCCGAGGTCGCGGTCTCTGTACTATGAACTGTAGACTATATCACTCAGCATTCGTATATCAAATTATAACTGACAGATATACAAACTACACGATCTTATCTCCTGTTGAGTTAAAAAGTGATATGTTAATAACATAATAAAAAATAAGACACGCGTCATCGCTTATCAATAAACCCAAACATAATCCCGCGCGTCAATCGCGCCAGCATCGACGACGCTGACGACGAATGTTCATCGATCGATCGGAAATGCGCCGACGCCTTATTCATCGATTAATTCCTGCGGATGCATATTCCGCGCTGAGAGAACGTCATATTTTGAATGCCAGCGGATCTGTTTATTCGATTCTAACTGTAAGTAATTCAATGTCACATGCGTGTAAATCGTCGAAAACGTATTCGATAGTTAAAGGTTAATGAAGGCGAATTTATTGTTACTCACCTGCTTTCTTAACAAGACTTCCAATGCGTGCCACCTTGGCACAGTAACAAGACTATTGCAATTTCGCATTTCGGTTTATCGTCTTTCATATTTTTAGAGAGAATGTTACGTAAAGACACATGAGTGAGCAGGTAGTCGAGATATATATAATTTTTGTTCGTAAGTAAACAATGTGACGCCATTTTAATTGATAAGCAAGTACGTCTTTTTATCGACAGTAAATATAACAATTGGTAAAAAAGTATTCTACTTTAACGATATTGTGGTGGATAAAAAAATCTTTAATATTACGATAGATAAAAATGTTTTTTTTTTACGATATAAACAATAAATAAAAAAGTATTATTTTTTGTACTATGGCAATATTTTTTATATAGTTGTTTACTAATTTAACGCAAATTTGATAAAGTATAAAAAAATATTAATTAAAAAGTTGTCTCTCAAAGAACAAATTTAAAATTGTTTTAAAAATATTTCCACATTATTTATCTTTATTTTCTCTATATAATTTATATTATAATTTATATAAATTATTACAGCAATTAAAATCCTAATTGGTAATATTGATAAATAAAAATCAACGATTTATATAAATCCGACACTGGCGCGTGGAACAAAGCTAATTAGAAAACATTTATGTGTAATAATTTTCTAAGATATGCCACGAAAAGAAAAAAATATCCACGAAACAAAAATTGTGTTTAAAAATTAGCCCCAAAAATTACAGGCATATTATTTAATACAAAAAAATCTAGAAATACCACAATAACTGCTTTTAAATTTCTCAAAATTATTTGCAATAAGTAATTTAAACATACATTTATCAATTAAAATACATATAGGAATATTTTAGTCTTCTGAAAAATTAAATCTTTTTCCACAGCATATATAATTCTGTTCTTTTTATCTCTTTTTATCTCTTGCATCTGTCCGAATTTATTATTTTTTTATCAATTTGTATAATAAATACAATTTTATCTTATCGCGCATACGTGAGTAAGGCTTCGAGTACACGGGCGATTTAAATCGCGTCACTAAGTAGCGCGATCGAGTAAAACAATAGCATCACTATCGCGACTGCTTTCGCTCGTGTACCAAGATTTAATATAAATATATGAAAAATCGGAGATGCTACTCGATCGCGCTATTTGTGACGCGATTTAAATCGCCCGTGTACTCGAAGCCTAACGCCGAATTAACATCTAATCGCAAATTCTGGAAATACTGCGGTGAGTTTAAGCACTATGTATGTTACTCATTTACATATCGTCAAGATTAATCTATTAAATACAAGTAGAAAATTTTTAAAAACTTATACAAATTTATGTATATATTAGAAGCCGAAATTTCCAATAAAAATTGGAATTTTACTAGACAAAAAAGCTTTAACAAAATCCTTCCGTTATATGAAATTAATGTATAGCATCTTAACTACAAATATTCGCGTGAAAATATTCTTTTTCCTTCGTACAATAGATAACAAATCCGTCAAAGAAAGTAATTTAAAAAAAAAGCCGTGCGTGATCACAAGATGATATTTTTCTTCAGCTGCTGTAAGAAACTTCTTAGAGGATCAATAACAGAATCGCTCTTTATTTGATCTCCGACTCTCGCATCTTTTTGTCAAACGCGCGCTCTTTTCCGACCCCAAAATAAGCAGCTATCGGGAATATGTGCCATTGAAGACATGCGATGACCTAAGACCCATCCCGGGCGTCACACTTCGTAGTACGAATCGATCGAATGTATGTTTGTAAAGAATTTTTCGTGGAATAGACGACGGTGCCGAAAGCAATTGTATGAGCGAGAGGCGATTAATAATTAACGCACAACACGTCGATCGATATCTAAAGATACGGATTAAAAACCGCGACATCGTAATGTAGGTCGACGGCTTAATTAACGGGCGATCTTCTTTTTATTTTCGGGGAGAATCGATGATGCTTCTCACTAAAATTTGGAATTCTCGCGATTAATATTTCGCGAAAAGTACAGTTTTCGAGATCGCTGGATTTCTCGCGCATTTCATATGAGAAAAATGTTGCCAGTTGTTAAATAAAAACAATAGATATCTGTAGTAATTAAATTAACATTTACGATAAACGTATGAAATCTTTAAGAACTCAAACTTTGTCTTCTACCTTTTTATTGCAAAAAAAAGTGAATAAATAATTAAGGACGTTAATTTTAGTGCGATAATTTTGTTTTTATGCGTTTATTTTAAATAACTAACACATCAACAGACATTTTTTTTAAATGATAAAAAAAGATTGAGTAAAAAATCTGAGGCTTCTTCTTATTTAAGAGAAAATATCGTCTTACAAAGAAAGTTGTTATGACACATGAGAGATTCAAAGTTGAATCTAACAAGTGCGAGATTTATTTTGCAAGATGAGAAAGTTTCTTAATTAATGAGCAGATATCTAAAGATTCCCGATGAATCTCGCTGTTGCAGTGCTACGTGTCCAGCATTCCCTCTTACGATATCAAGGTTTAAACGATGTGAAGGCTTACAAGACCTTATACGTAAGAAGCTATAAAAGCTTGCGAAATGTGGGCTTACGAAAAGATTTTATCCCGAGCGGCGGAAATAATGAGGAAGAATTGTGACGTTCAAGCGCGCAAACGGAATGCCGATGTTCTTGGAGAACAGAAATTTATCGTAAGGAAAAAAAAAAGGAGGAAGGATTAATAGCAAAATATATGTTTGACAGTTTACGAATAAAAATGTAACTTTTATGATAAATTTTTTCCACATAGAAAATAAATTTATAATCACAAAATTCCGTGCAGCGCGTGGTAAAATGTAAAAAATAAAGCCGCGTAAAATTAAGCTGTTGAAACTATTTCCTCGAAAATTTTTCAATTCGAATAAATCTTCTCGATACCAATAAGACCGAAAGCTTAATGAAATTAATGGAACCTGTCGGGAATCAATCACGACGGGAAGCAAGAGCGCAAAAGCGTAAAATAGTCTGAATCATTGATTACACGCGTCGCACTTATCGTTTTTTATCGCGAGAAAGCGTGTAAATCAATGGTTCGCCAGGGGTAACAATAATTGCGGCTTATCGGCGCGGTGTAACGATCGTTTAATTTAGATGTAAATTCGCGCGGCGCAAATATACGTGCGTCTAGTGGCGATTGTAGCGTGAGGAAACGAGGATAAAGACCCAAGAAATAATGGGGCGAGAGAGAAAGAGGGAAGGGAGCCATTCTTCACCGTCTGCGGAATAAAGTCGTCGCCGTCGTCGGCGTCGAAATTGACAAAACGGCAGGAACTGGCATGCGCAATTCATCGTGGAATCACCAATAAGCTTGTAGAATTCCAGCTGCGCTTCATTGATTAACGCGCGAGCGCTCGTTCTAAATTTCGCGGCGTGCACAATCCGCGCGATTACTGTTCGCGATCCGCTATTGCGTCTCGTATATTGCGTGCTGCGCGGCGGAAAACAGTTCCTGTTCAACAGTTTCACAAATACGACAAGATTTTAGAAAAAGCTCTATAGAAATAGAAACAAAGAGCCATTTTTTTGTACAGGTTTACCTTTTTTTGTAGGAAAATGTAAAAGAAATTTCTCGCTGCGAGACGCAATTTAAAATTCCGCCCGACAAATAATTATATTCAATATTAATTTTATTAATGGATCCTGCGGCGAGTTTTCAGAGTTAATTTTTTTCCACTTTTTACCGCAGATCTCCGCTTTTGAACGTTGTGCGTCTTCACAACCGCGCCGCGAATAAAAATTGCATTAAAGTTAAGCTCAGTAGAAATTAATTAAAGAATGCGTTCTTCGCGGCATTTTGCGTATGTACATTCGAAAATTATGCAGATTGCTATTAAAGTATTTTATAAAACATGAGAATATTCATGATCCCCCTTAAAGAGAGATGTCGCAAAAGCGATGTATAAAAAGACAATCGGCGAATTAAAATAATCCGCGAGCGCGCGTCAGTCCGCGCGCGCGAACATCGATTCCTTCCCCTCGTAGCTTCGATGTATTCTTCGCCGCGGCGTTTATCCTAATTATGGCGCGTCGTCGATATTCTCGCGCGACCTAATTCCGGTTCCGCTAAAAGTATATCCGCGCTTACTACTATGTATCGATGGGAGAAAACGCGTAACGAGAAAGTCGCACGGAACGGAAAATTTACACGAGAGCGTTCTAAGAATAGCGCACACATGGCATTGCACATATCTTGCAGTTACGCGGACTATAAATAAAATAGGAGAATTGCGGAATGAAAAGAGAGCCGTGCACGCGTATGCCAAATCGGAGCTTTATTATCGTGCGCCCCGCGTCTTCGCATCCGCGTTAAACTGAAATAGCTCCGCGCCCCGAGCGAAGCGAGCGGTTTTATGCCAGAGCTCGCTCCTCGCTCTCCCTCTCTTTCTGCGTCCATTGTCGCATTCGCACGCTGCTCCATTTTCCTCCGTCAATCTTCTTCCGGTATAAATCCCTCGCGAGTCCCAATTTATGCTTCGTAACGGAATCCCCGTTGCAGCACGTTTCGCGCGCGCCAAATTCTAAGGATAAAGTCTCGAAATGGGGCCTGCAACCTCTGATCTTTGTGGAAATAGAAACACTCGAAATGTTATCTTAACACACACTGTGAGGAGGATTTAAACAAATCATAATAGATTTACGAAACGCGACTCGAAGGACACAAGCTGATACAACGCTCGTAGTAGCAAATTTTATTACGCGAGCTAATGGCCAGCCGCATAAATTGTGCGCGCTGCATTCATTTTTAAGGGATATTTATCGAATAATACTAGAAGGAGATAAAACATTTACAATACCGAATAAAAAATTGATCCTCGAATCCGCAAAGGAAACAACCGATCAAACTAAGGTCTTAAATTTTGATTTGCAGCTGACAAATAAGAATCGCAATGAAATCGTCGAAGAATGTCAAAAAGTTTTGAGCGTGTGAATCGCTAGACAGAAGTGAATCGCGAGACAGCTTGTGAGTAATTAATGGAACACGATTCCATTCAATAAGACAAATTGAAGAAGGTCGAATGGGGATTCGGGGCCGTTCAGCGTCTCTCGTGTCCAAATATTTAGTCTGGTATATCCTACGTCGTGCGCGCGAGGAGTCGCGTGCGAGGGAGGTGCGTATCGCCGCGGATCGTCCTGTTGCTATTGACATTTTCATTATCCGTGTTACGTCGCGCGCTACATATTCACACGCGAGCGCGAGCAGTATGTTCACGGGCGTATGTACGTGCGAGTTTATGTGTTTCGCCGATGAGAGAAAAGGAGAAAACTCGCCGCACAGCCGGCAGGTAGCTTGCGAGTGCGATATTAAGCCGGATCAATAAAATGACTTATCCCTGTTGCCGCACGAAGTTCCAGCATGACGTTTCAGTCTGGAGCTCACGATGATCTGAAGCGAGATGACATCGGCGAGAAATGCAAAACCGACACTCTTGGAAAGCGAAAGATACAGAAGTACCGGATATATAATTATGCGGAACGTTCAAAGTAAAAAAAAAAGTAGTGTATGCTAAAAAAGCTTTTAATCGCAAATAAGTGTAAATACCGTTTGAAATTAGTAATCAATTTCAGAAATTGCAAATACGCTCCGTTTCCGTCGACAAAAAAATTGATTCTAAATTGACCGGAAAACATCGGGTTTCCCTTTACCCTCTTTTCCCCAATATTATATTTCACTTTCCGCGGAAACATTAAAAAAAATTGAAGCTGCAATTGAGTTCAAACGTGACGATATGAAGCATCGCCCGGTGCTTCATATCGTCACGTCTAAACTCAATTTTTGCCTGACGAGAGTGTCATCGATGGGCGGAGGGAAATTCTCGGCGTTTCGACCCGGCGCGCTGAATATTGCAAGCAAGGTTACCGCTGCGAGAGACTCTCTCTCCCTCCCTCCCTCTCTCCTCCTCTCTCTCTCTCTCTCTCTCTCTCTCTCTCTCTTTCAAAAAAAGAAAACCGCGGAAAAAGAAAAATCCTAACGACGCCGTCTACGACGAGCCGCGCGCTCAAGGAACGGCTCTTCACTCTGGCACTCTTGTGCCGACCGGATGGCGACTCGAGCGCGGCGGGTTATACGGACAAGTGGAAAAAGGGCGGCTTGAGAGTAGTCGGCGGAAAGGCGACACGTGCCTTTTTTTCATCCCAGCAAGATTTCAGCTCGAGAGCAGCCGCGATTCGTCCGCGCGCCTCGTTTTCTCGCGGGGGGAGGAAAAAAATTCACGAAGCGTGACGGCGAAATCGCACACACGCCGCTGTACGGTACTGCAACGGTTATATAGCACGCCGGCGGATGGGGAAGGACGCGGGCGGAACCGAGCGGAACGCGGGAGACGGGCGAGGGAAGCGGGATGGCGCGAGAAGGGGATGGCTCGCGATAGGGGGTGGTTCGGCGGCCCGCTCGGCCCGTTCGGCCAGTCGTGCTGTGGCGGCTGCTATCGCGACGTCATCCGCGCGCTATGACTCCCGGACGTAGGGACGATCGTCCACGCGAGGGATAAAAAAGCCCTCTCGCCCTGGGAAAAAGCCCCCGCGAAGCCCACGATCATTCCGTTCGGCGGGAATCGATCGCTCGTCGCGAAAGGACGGGATTAAAAGCGAAGACGGAAGGGTATCTCCTGGTTACATCGAGCCGCTTAAAACGATCCACTCTCTTTCTCTCTCTCTCTCTCTCTCTGTCTTTCTCTTTCTCTCTCTCTCTCTGTCTCTTTTGTGATTCCGAGAATCCTGGCAGCTCGGAATTTGCGGAATTCTCTAAAATAATATGTGAAAATTGCGAGAAAACAGTGCGAACGGTTTAGCGTCCTGTCCATTGGCTCTTTCGCGATTTGGAATGGTAAAAAGTGCATTTTCAGCGACTCGGCTCGACCAACAACAATGTTCCTACCGCGAAATCCGTGAGATTCTTCGATTTAAACCGCGATAACGCGTGAAATCGCGGGAGAACGAAACCGACGAGTTTTTACTTTCCGTCGTTCCGCCAAAAGTGATAAGAAATGTCAATTTCGCACGGCGTTCGCGAAATTTGCCGAATAATTCGCTATGTCGCGCACGGAAGTGCGATAAATAATAAAATGGGATTTTCACGCCGTCGTGATTTCGGGATTCCCGAAGTGCGATAAAAATCCCGTCGATTCTTCGGCGGACGAATACACAATCGCGGGGTAGATTTACGTAGGCAGCGTCGCGGAGAAAGTGAAAGACGAAAGCGAACGAGAGGGAAAGTCGAAGGATCGAATGTGCCGAGTAAAATATACGAGGAGTAATTGTCGTTGTTTCTCGCTTTGCGAGAATCGATCACCGCTGATTAGCGCGCGGCGCGGTCAGACACGAAGGTGTGCGATAGTTCGCACTTAAAGTACTGTGATTTGTGACTCTGAGATTTCAATGAAAACTCGGATCACGAGCGACGAGGAGCGAAACGATCGATAAGACGATTCGCGATACGTCGATTCGAAGCGCCGCTTAAATCGATTTGCTATGAAAATTACTTTTTAATTGAAAGCTTTGGGTCTCTTCGAATCTCGCCGAGTCAAGATCCATCGTTAAGAAGTTTCTGCCGGATCGCTGGACCTCGGATGGATCATAATGAAGAATTTCGCCCAAGAATGGCAATTATCGGTATGAGCTTATCGTTAAGATACACGAAAGTTTTCAAAAATGTTCTTAGAAGACACTTTTCAGATCGTGACAAATTTTTACAGCTTTCTAGCTAAGATAATAATATAAGAAATCACATTAAATTTCCTATGTTATTATCTTTTTATCAACTTTATTACATATTATATTTTACGATAAATCCAAGTAAATATTTGATAAGATCTTCAACTTTTTAATTAAATTTCTGAACTTTTTTAATTTTAAGAATTTTCTTCGAAATCAATTGTTACATACAATTATAATAAATTCTACGATTGTGTTCATCGGTTCATTGAGGATATTAATATTTTGTACGATTAATTAAAACATCAACTTTTTTTTGTCGTGTCGTCACCGCTTATGTCTAACATTAAACAGCAAAAATGTTCGTCGATTAGCGATCGAGGATACACAGGGAGCGACCGGAAGCAATCTCGGTGCGCTTTTGCTCCTTCCTCTCGCCCTGCCTCCCGTCGCTTCCACGCTATTTCTACACGGTAATTCCCCGAAAGAGAGAAGACCCTCCCGCTTTTCCTCGTGCTTCCTCGTTGTTGAGTCAAGCGATTACGGGATCACTGAGACAATCCCGATACAATTCGGCGATATTACGTGTGTTTACGATATTCGTGATCCCGCGTTCGCGGGTAGTTTCGCGCGCGAGGACGAAAGACAATTCTAGGATTCACTCTTGTATTCGCATCTCGTCGCCGAATCGAACGGTCACGAGATTACCGGGACGATCCCGATACGGTCCGTCATATTACGCGGGCTTATACACTCGCGCCCTTGCATTTGCAATGCCATTTCCATGCGGTTACGAGAGAGAGAGAGAGAGAGAGAGAGAGAGAGAGAGAGAGAGAGAGAGAGAGAGAGAGAGAGAGAGAGAGAGAGCGCGCTCTTCGCTCGCGGAAGTTACCTCCATCACGTCGCGTCGATGATTTTCCTCCGGAGAGATCTCATCCCTTGTCCAACTCCCACTTCCGTTCCCGGAAAGTTCGTATCACTCGCTTTCAGAGAAATCGCTACGATGTACACGACGCACGTACAACTTTACGATAAGGGTGCATATAAATACACGATTGTAAAGCGTATCGCGTATCTCGGTGTCAGAGGTGCGTTTCAGGGCGTAAAATTACACGCGTTTGAGAATATACTAGACGTCACCGAGTCATTGTGCGATTCAGAAACTTTGCTCTGATTTTAGCTGCAATTTTTTAATCAGTCGATACGCGTTTGAAATATTTTTTTTATTAGATTCTTTTTTGAATCGCGCTGATTAAAAAATCCAGAGCTATTCAAACAGCTTATTAATTGATTTAAAAGTTTCCTAATAAATTTTAAACTGAGCTCTACACGACATCAAAGCGAATCCGAATCAAAGTAAATCTGCAATGAAGGTATTATTAAAATGTATAAGTGTGATGAAAAATATAAATTTTCTTCTTTCCGCTGTCAGATATGAGGGATTCAGGGGAAAAATGGACCGAGTCCTTTTTTTTAAATCTATGTGTAAATGAGAAAAAACTGTTTTCACTGAATGATTTAAAAATCAGTGTAAATGTTTCAGTTAAAATTAAAAGAAACGCTATAGCGCCTATAAAAACAAGCACAATTAAAACAATTTTAATTTTTGAACTAATTTTCTAATAATTAACAAAACTTGATGATCTATTTTTCCTCTGAATATTGTGATAAATCTTGGTTCACGGAACGATGTCGCTTTTAAATTCCGATAATATTTCATATATGTGTAATGTAGTTTATAACATCAAAAAGCTTGATGCTATGCGCAGTTTGTACTCGTGCAGGGATTTTCGGAGAATGTATCCGACACATAGGATTCCGAATGCGCGATTTGCAAACTGCGTATAAACGTCCGCGGCAATTAGGGGATTTCGAGCTTACTTGGGCTTTACGCATCCTCTTCCTCAAACGTTCCGCTAGATTTTGAGAAACAACAGATCAATAAACACGCTATGGGAAGGGAAGATAGCGAATGCCGAGGGGTTGGGCGAACACACCGCGGCACGCAGTCTCTTCGCACGAGAAGACGCTTCTAATTTGAAATATATTCTTCCGCTTTCAAGCTCCATCACTGGAGCTACAATCCATTCAGTTTCGATTTTTGCGCTCTTGGTGCTTTATTTACGATGAGTTTGAAGTATCGCTGGCGATACTTGGTTCGAGAATTGAAGCGCGATGGAAATATGATTTCAACTTAAAACTATTATTAAGAGAAATTCCCTTCGCGCACTCTGTGATCAGAATATTTTTCAGAAATATAAATAACTGTCCATTAAACGGAATGCCTCGAATGCCGACGGATCAGTTTCGACACTATTGATTTTGCAAGAATATACAAGGTGGAAAATTGGAAATTCGCGACTAACAACACTTTGATTTCATTGAAAAAAATCGACTCCAAGTTGATCGAAGAATATATCACACATAAAAGATTGTTGTTGATTTGGCATGTCACACGCTAAACAGGCAATTTATAAGCCGCGTTCTCAGTTGAGCTATTCGCTTCGGACTTTTGCAGGATTCCTGCGGAATGTCGTCGATCCCGCCGTCCGACTTCCCTTACCTTGAATCCAAGAGCGCGGAAAATGAAGAAGATCAAGAGCAGCGAAGCGGTCGCGCCTCGTCGTCGAACTGGGTCGTCGTCACTTTGAAATTCAAAACAAGACTTCGGGGCCATCTCGGATTTAAAGCCGGAATACTCGTATCGCTATCGCGCTCGTTAGACTCGGTCTCGGTGAAATCAAATCCGTTTAACGAGCCGAAAATTTGCTATTTGACGAAAGGTGCGTAGGAAAGCGTGAAAAAAAAAAAAAGCGCTACTGTGCCTTGACAAGGACAAAAGAAATATTTATAAAGACAGAAAGGGAGAAGAGTCGAGTGTCCCGAGAGGAATATTCCACAAAGGACAAGAAGAGAAAAAAAGAAATCAAGAAGAATCGGAAATTCGACCAGCTCGAGCTTCTCGATGGCCGCGATGACGTTAAGGTCGACGACGCCGGCGCCGATACCGAACGTTTCTTCCGGAACCTGAGTCTCTCCCGATGTACATCCGATCCCGGAACCGATTATTGGAACAACAGGCTTCCGAAGATCCGCGATAATCGCATTGAAGCGCTTCAAAGCTCTACTTTAAGACGGTTTCAGGGAGCATTCCGAATTTGTACTGTCGCTTTTTCCCATTTCCTCTCCCGGCGCTCGTTTATTTGAAAACAAAGAAAATAAAAGCGGAGGGAAAGCCTGGCACGTGGCCAAGAATACGACGCAGATAGACGACGTAAACAGACGAGAAACTCTCGAAAGCAACAGAGAGAAGAGAGAAAAAGAGAAAGAGAGAGAGAGAGAGAAAAAGAGAGAGAGAGATTGGGCGCTCGAAGGTGGTTTTCGAAAGCGATCGTGAGCACGCAATCGATGACGAGATTCGAGACTGTCAGCTTTATCGGTTCGCCTCGGAGGGATGCCTACGGCGGAAAGGTGCATGCTGCGGTCGAGTGATCGAGAAGCGGAAACCCGCGGTCGATGCGCACACACCAGAAGGGGATGGAGAAAAGTCCTGGTTTTTCCCGCAACACGAGCCGAGAGAGCGTTCTCTTTCGCGCGGATGCCGGATTCGCTCGGAACAATGGGCCCTCGAGGATCCTGCCTATAGAGAGTTCGGTAAGTGCAGAGTGAAGTACTTGTTTTAAACCAAATTGGAATGCCGGTCATAATTGGGTGATTAATTTAATTACTTGGCGAGCTCGCTAATAATAAATTACAGATTTAATAATTTGTACGTTAACAGAGGCAAAATAAAGCGCCTGAAGATCGAAAAATCCACGGAAGTAAAAAAAAAAAAAAAACTACCCGGAAATTTATTTAATTAAATTAGGGATAAATAATTTATACGACAAAAGCAAAATAGAGCGTTTGATCGATGTAGAATCTAAGCTAAAGCTACTGAATAATCGATTTAATTAATTTAAGGATTTAACAAATTGTAGATGGAATAATTTATATGTCAACGATAGCAAAAAGAAAGTGTGTCTGATTCGTGTACAATCTAAAAGCCTGCGTAAGTAGAAAAGAAAACCAGGACGAAGGTGCGGGTGTGAAGACGAGTAAAGGATCGGAAACGCTTTACCTCAAAATAGACGCGCGGTACGTGATAGAGACTTCCCTCCGATGAACGTAACGAGCGAGGCGGATCGAAGATCCTAGATAACGAGGGACTGCCAAGGACGGCGCGAAGGGACACCCAAGTCGGCAATTAAGATGCGCCAGCGTGTGCCCTGGCCGTTGCTGCTCGTGATTCTGTCGCTGCGGCGGTTGTCGACGTTGCAGTCGCGCTTGCACAGCGAGGCGGTCCTGATTCCGGGCGACATCGTCCTGGGAGGATTGTTCCCGGTGCACGAGAAGGGCGGCGGCACCGCGTGCGGGCCGAGCATCTACCATCGGGGCGTGCAGCGCCTCGAGGCGATGCTGTTCGCCGTCGACGAGATCAATCGCAACGAGACGATACTGCCGGACGTCACGCTCGGCGTCCACATCCTCGACACCTGCGGCCGCGACACGTACGCGCTCAATCAGAGCCTGCACTTCGTCCGCGCGTCCCTGTCCAACATCGACATCAGCGTGCTGGAGTGCGCGGACAAGTCGACGCCCAGGGTGAAGAGGACCGCCAGCGCGGGACCTATTTTCGGGGTGGTCGGCGGCTCCTACAGCTCGGTGTCCCTGCAGGTGGCGAATCTGCTCAGACTCTTTCACATCCCGCAGATATCGCCGGCTTCCACGGCCAAGGCGCTCAGCGACAAAACCAGGTAAGCTCCTCGAACACGCGCGAGCGGATTTTTCGGCGGATTTCAACTCGGTCCTGAATTGAATTCCGATATTGAATCTTCTCGCTGATAATTATGTGTTCTCCCCTCATTCTCCCTTTTCGAGAATTATTCGCTGCGAGCTGAAAGCGCCAACTGGATTAAACAAATCGTACATTGTTCCACTGCGGAAAGCAGAAACGAGAACTGCGCAATCGGAATCCGAAGAATGTGACTAAAATCGATTCACTCACCCGAGACATGCGAGCACCGAGCAACCACAATTGACTTAGCCAGCAAACGGATGGAAAAGAAATCTATTAGGGATATAAAGTTTCCATCGTTCGTGTATAGACGGATCGCTCCGAAAACAGAGACTTCTTTTATCGCGATATTCATTTTTGCCCGAGAAATGGCAAAGAGGCGTAGATAATGCCGGAAAAATATTTTGAATAAATATACTGTGTCATTTATAAGATATCGCGAAAGAAGATTGTCTTAAGATCGATGGAAACTCTTTCTTCTGACACATAATTGAACAATCTGACAAATCAGGTCTCGCGTTTCTAACGAATAAACTATGTCTAACACGCAGATTCATTTTTTTAACGAAATATAGTTATTCAGAAAAACAAACTTGAAAATAAAAGTTCCTCCCACATTAAATAACAATTTAAATTGTCCGATTCATTAAGTCTTAATTTTTTTTATCCAAGACATGTAATATGAAACAGATTTTTGTATTTTATCTATTTTAAACATCTTCTAGTTTCTTGCACAATATATATTTAACACAAATGCTAGTCGCGATATTCTTCTTTTCCGCGAGTTTATTAATCATGCCGAAAGGACAAATAAGCCCACTTCGAGATCAAACTTCCCATTGTCAGCGTTCCATTCATTCGTTCTTCAGGTTCGATTACTTCGCGAGAACGGTGCCCCCGGACACTTTCCAGTCGATCGCGTTAGTGGACGTGGTGAAGAGCGCCAACTGGTCGTACGTCTCCACCGTATACTCGGAGGGCAGCTACGGCGAATATGGTATCGAAGTGTTCACGCGCGAGGCCACGGAACGGAATGTCTGCATTGCGGCGGCGCTCAAAGTGCCAAGCGCAGCCAACGACAAGGTGTTCGACGATATTATCCAACGTCTGAGCAAAAAGCCGAACGCCCGGGCGATCGTCCTGTTCACCCGAGCGGAAGACGCCCGGGGCATCCTCGAAGCCGCGAGACGATCGAACCTCAGCCAGCCGTTTCAGGTCGGTCGGGGAAAAAGCTCTGGTATTACGGAACCCCCCCTCCGATGTGTGCACTATCTCTCTTCCGCAATACAGCGATGATCGATAGAATTTGTTGAAAAAAAAAAAAAAATCCGTTTCCAAAAACTAGTGAAAAATTTATTCATTTCATTGCGAACGGTAAACCGTACTTTAATTTGCAGTTTTTCGCGGAGATGAGTATTGAACGTGCGTGCCCACTCGCGCGGGATATTAAAAACAAAATGGGGTTTTATAATACCAATTCCCTCCCCTGTCTCTCAAACAATGATCGATTGCGAAATATCCAGTGGCTGGCCAGCGACGGCTGGGGCAGACAGAGCAAGCTGGTGGAGGGCCTCGAGGAGGAGGCCGAGGGTGCCATCACCGTCGAGCTGCACTCGGAACACATCCCTCACTTTGACAAGTACATGGCGTCGCTCACCCCCCTGAACAACCGGCGGAATCCGTGGTTCGGCGAGTATTGGGAGGAGGTGTTCGGCTGCACCCTGCAGCGGAACCGCAGGTGGAACGGCTCCGGCAATCAGAGTCTCACCTTCTGCTCGTCGGATCTGAGATTGACGCAGGCGAGCGGATACGAGCAAGAGTCCAAGGTGCAATTCGTCGTGGACGCGGTTTACGCGTTCGCGCTGGCGCTCAATAATCTGCGCGCCGATCTGTGCGGCCGCCACACGGAGGGCCTGTGCTCGTCCATGGCCAACTACGACCGCGGCGTGTTCTATAGAAATTATCTGTTGAACGTGTCCTTTGTAGGTGAGTGCGATCTCATAAAACGGTTCCGAGACGGAAATAATCGAACGGCGCGACGCGCCGTTTGTTCGCTTCTTTGAGCCGTCTTTACGTTCCGCCCGAAGAAATATCGACGGTGAATAAAGGGAGGGAGGGAGGGGGGGGGCGGAAAGAATGCTGAAGAAATGCTTAAAGAAACACCGGGGCAATAATTGGTACGCGATAATTAGCGTAATTGGAATTAAATCAGTTTCGTCGACGGAATCACACAAATTGTGCGAGAATTAATTTGTAAGACAAAACACGAAGCTGAACTATTTTTCATATTATTCCGCGAATTTTCTATTAAATGAGACTCAACTCGGGAGATAAATGTCGGAGTTTGCAGTTGATGGGGATCCCAGAATCATCGCAGTTATTTTGCAGACGCCGCGGGCAGCGAAGTAAAGTTCGACGAGCACGGGGACGGCTTGGCGCGATACGAGATCCTCAATTTCCGAAAAGGAACGAACAACAATGGGGCGAACGGCTATCACTATCGGGTAAGACTCATTCGGAGCGCCGTAATCACTGTAACACGCTATTATATCATTCCCGATGCATAATTGAACGAACTGTCGCCCCGGCGGAGGCGATAAACTCAATTGAAACTCCGTGGAAGTCGCTTCGCTTTTGCAAAGTTCAATTTTCATCACCGCGCGCCGTCGCTAATACGCGGATAAAGTAGCGCACGGAAATTTTCCGGTGGTTGAACAATCCTTGAACTTCGAGCTCGGACAATAAATTGTTCGCATCTTTCGGGTTCTAAAGATACACCTTGATATCCCGGACTTACAACTTAATATCCGATATTCAGACCTAAATTTAGATGAAGTTTAGATGAAATTGAATTTAATTAGAATATTAATTCGAAGTTCAATAATTTTGCAGAGGTTGAAAAATCGAGACAAAAAAAAATGCTATTTATACATCGATAACATTTTAGCCTGTAATCGGCGGACTTGTCGCACGATCGATGACGCGACACGGCATCGAACGATGCGAATGCGCAAAGAGGCAACCTTTTTAACGAGTAATTAAAGTTGCACCGTGGCTGCGCTTTCGAGAGTTTGAGCATTTCCCGGAAAGTGGAAACCCCGAGGGAAACCGAACGAGAATGAAACCCTCGAGTTAAAATAAAAAGATATATAGTTTGCAGTAAAAAGAAAATCAGAACTAATAAAGCAATAATGTGAACTAAAAAAAGTGAACAATTTCTTTATACTTTTTTTTTTACAGAAATTAATTTCAAAATCGTATATTTTCATATGAAATATTGAATATAAATATATTCATATGAAATATAAAAGTTTCAGAATTTGTTGTCAAACAATTTATTCGGTTATTTCGGTGATTCGAGATTAGACACAATTTTATATAAAATAAAAACATTTGCAAAACGTATTTACTCTGTCAAAACGATTCTTTTCCAAATTTTTACAATTAAACAAGAGAAAATAATGATCCCTCTCTTCCCCGCGATTAATCGGAGCGCGACGTAGAATTTGATCAGCTTCCAAATTACGAGCGAAACGCCGGAACGTGCCGCGGAGATCTGTCGGGCCGATCACGCGCCAAATTGGTCGACAGGTGGTGGGAAAATGGTACAACTCCCTGGACATCCGCACGGAGGAGATGGTGTGGGCGCGAGGGACGAAGGACATACCGATCTCCGCGTGCTCGCTGCCCTGCGAGCCAGGTATGATAAAGAAGCAACAGGGTGACACTTGTTGCTGGGTGTGCGACCAGTGCGAGGCGTACGAGTTCGTCTACGACGAGTACACCTGCATGGACTGCGGCCCCGGCTTGTGGCCGCATCCCGACAAGCGCGGCTGCTACCAGCTGCCGATCAAGCATATCAGGTGTGTGCGTTCACGTATCTTTCAGCGATATTGGAACGGTATTTCCAGGACATCGTCGCAAAAATGTCATCGAGTATTAATGCTAAAATTAGTAAAAATAGAGGAATAATCGCGATATTGCGAAATGCGAGCGAGCCAAAGCCGCGGTTCTTGTTTTTTTTTTCAAAAGAAGAATTGATGGAATAATTTCTTTTTCCATCGAGTAGAACGTTCTATATAAAATTGCGATTTAATGAAAAAAATTTGATGTTTTTAATGGATTAGGAATACGCGAATAAAACGCATCTCGTGCATTCTGTTTTTCAGATGGAGCAGCGCCTTCGCCATCGCGCCCGCGATAATATCGTGCCTGGGGATCGTGGCGACTTTGGCGGTGGCGTGCTTGCTCTTCCAGCACCGCGACACGCCGGTGGTGAGGGCTTCCGGCCGCGAGCTCACCGTGATCCTGCTGGCGGGTGTGCTAGTCTGCTACCTGAACACGTTTGTGCTCCTCGCCACGCCGACCACAGCGATCTGCGTCTTGCAGCGCTTCGGCGTCGGCGTGAGCTTTAGCGCCATATACGGCGCCCTACTCACGAAAACCAACAGGATCGCCAGGATCTTCGACTCGGCCTCGAGATCCGCCGTGCGGCTGCGATACATCAGCCCCACGTCGCAGGTCTGCATCGCCGCCGCGCTCATTGCCTTTCAGGTAAGGATTCTAGATACGGTTTGTAGAGTAACGAAAGGAATGTCTGTTTCAACTCGAGAAAACATCGATTTTCTTATCTTCGAGCTGTCGCTGCTACATTTTTATTTATTTAAACGAGTTTTATCGTCTGTCTGAGGAACACGTTCGCGAGAATATATTATAAAAATAAATTCGCTATAATATTTACCACTCAAAATAATTAATGATTAATTTTTGCAAGTTGCGCTGCGCTAAAAAATGCAAATCATGACCTGTTAATTCAAAATAGCTTGATAATCCGAGCGTAAAATTTCTCAATAAACTTGTATACAGAAGAACATATTTTTAACGTAGGGAAAATTTTATTTTGTCTCAACACGAAGATTATGTTTTTCTTGAAAAGTGCTTGATATCGATATTTTATTTATGTCAAATTTCTCGTATGGAAAATATTTTCCCTCGGCAAAGACGATATTCTAAATTTCGACTCGAAACAGGCACTTCACTCTCGCAGTTTTCGTTTTGTTTCGAGAAGGGAAAAAAGAGA